TATATATATATTTCTACTGGAATGAAAATCAAATGTCCTATATTTTTGGGAATATTGTACAGCTGCAGTCTCAGTGGTCAACCCAAAGTAGCATACTCGGAAAGCTGTCTAGTTGATGAGAAGATGTAATGAAATGATGTGATATCGTTTCAGTTGATGAATTCATAGCTAAATTATGACTTGCTGCAACCAGCTTGTTCCCAGCTGACTGAATGACTGACAGCTAGGACATGCAGTCTCTTATCACTTGCGCACACTGACAGGGAGGGATACTCGGAGGCCATTTCACTGGGGACAAGTGTCAATGTTGTCCCGAAAATGACACATGATATGCATTTTTTTATCTCTCAAAAAATGTGAACTTTCCTCACTTTAAATTGAAAAAAAAATTGACTATGCAGACCAGACATTTACTATCCAGCCCTAAGGAAAGATGAGATTTTTGCCATTGTATAGAATTTCATTAAATGTCATGGGAAAAAAAATCACTAAATATTCAGTTCAGTTGATAAAGCTTAAAGGGATGGATCTTTAGAAGTCAGTTTCTGTGCTATAAAAAGCAATAGCTTACTGTGTGCAGCCTTAGTGTGGACGAAGAATAAGAAGTAACTCTGACAGGACTGACAAACAAACTCTAATGATGGTGAAACACGACTGAAGATGTTTGCTGCTATATTTTTGGATTGTTTTAAATAATCATCTAATCTGTGGCAGGAGTTCACTTTGGTCTTGTCTTAAACTGTTAGCTTATCATCACTGTCAGAAATAATCTCTGATTTTCAAACCTACTGTGTTCAAATAGATATCTACAACAGGTGTGATACTACACGTTTATAACTTTGCCACATAACCTCACTTCTAAAGAGTTGTTCTTTGACTTTGAGTTGCTAACTTTTAATGCAACAATGTATGGCATTTGATAAAATAAAACTTTTACCACATCAGGTGGGGTGTAAAACTCACATATAGCCCATCTGCTTGTGTTTTTTTTTTTACAATCAAATTTTAGAGAATTTGCCATGACCAACAACAATAAAATCTAAGTTAGACCCAACAGGTCTTTACCAAGTGTAAATGTTTTCACGCCAACTTCATCAGCTTGGCTTTTGCTT